TGTGCTGCTGACTGTAAACATCCCCTATACACTTTGCATTTAATGACATAATGATGGTAGCTCGAAAGTGGCCACAACAGAAATAACCACTGTTCATATATTTTTTTTAAACTTTTTTTTTTTTTCGGTACGCGGGCCTCTCACCGTTGTGGCCTCTCCCGTTGCGGAGCACAGGCTCCGGACGCACAGGCTCAGCGGCCATGGCTCACGGGCCTAGCCGCTCCGCGGCATGTGGGATCTTCCCAGACCGGGGCACGAACCCATGTCCCCTGCATCGGCAGGCGGACTCTTAACCACTGCGCCACCAGGGAAGCCCCATATATTTTTAATTCTAATCTTTTGGCTGCTACTTGTCTCAATCACTTCTTAGCTCATCATTTTCAAGTTTTTTTTTTTTTTTTTTTTTTGCAGCATTTGACACTGTCGCTCATTCACACTTAAACTGACTCTCCCTGGCTTCCATTATACCATACTTTTCCTAGACTCTTCTACTGAAAATCAATGCTGAGGGCTTTAAACTTAGAGCTTTAATACCATAACATCACTACCATTCCTGTATCATATTTCTAAATATCTAGTAGACAGTTCCCCTTTTACATCCCATCATAAGCATAAACACAATAGGTCTAAAACTAGAAAAGAATTAAGGATACAGTTCAAAAAATAAAATCTAATGATGCACGGTGGAAAGGATACATCCAAAATTTCCAATGCTTTCAGTCATCTGAAAGGAAAGTTTGACTGGGGCAGGGGGATCTGCTTCCAAAATGGCTCACTCATATGGCTATTGGAAGGAGGCCTCATTTCCATGCCACAGGGGCCTCTCCACAGGGCTATTTAAGTGTCTGTATGATATAGCAGCTGACTTCCCATAGAGCTAATTAGCCAAGAATCCAAGATGGGAACCATAATGTCTTTTATAACCTGGATTCAAAAGGCACACTTCATCATTTCCACAATATCCTCTTGGTTACACGAGTCAGCCCTATGCAGTATTGGAGGGGACTTCACAAGGGCACAAATACCAGAAGGTGGGGCTCATTTGGGGGCCATCTTGGAGGCCGGCTATAACAGAGACTGATCCTTTGAAATTGCTAAGGCTTTGTTTAATGGCCTAACCACATAGTTGGCCTCCATAAATGTTCCATGTGTAGTACAGAATGTGTTACACAGCAATTTATTACATAGCAATAGATAACTAATAAGCTCCTTTAAGTTAGTTATAAGACGATGATGTGTCCAAATGTCTTGCTACCCAGGGTGTGTCCATGGATTAGAGGCATCAGGATGACCTGGGAGCCTGTTAGAAATGAAAGAGCCTCAGTCCCCATCCTAGATTTGCTGAAGCAGAATCAGTATTTTAACAAGATTCCCAGATGATCAGTAGGTACATTCAAGTTTGAACAGCACTGTCCTATAAAATCCTTCAGTTACCAAAAAATATAAGTACTTGTCCTTTTAACTTTTATTCTAAATAAGAATAGGAGATTTCTGCTACCACTTGGGGTATAGAAAGCCATAAAAGAACATCACTCCCAGCCTAACAAGAAAAAAACTGGACTTCCCTGGTGGCGCAGTGCTTAAGAATCCGCCTGCCAATGCAGGGGATATGGGTTTGAGCCTGGACCAGGAAGATCCCCATGCCGCGGAGCAACTAAGCCCGTGCGCCACAACTACTGAGCCTGTGTTCTAGAGTCCGCGAGCCACAGCTACTGAGCCGGTGTGCCACAACTACTGAAGTCCGCAGGCCTAGAGCCCATGCTCCACAACAATAGAAGCCACCACAATGAGAAGCCTGCACACTGCAACGAAGAGTAGCCCCCGCTTGCCGCAACTAGAGAAAGACCATGTGTAGCAATGAAGACCCAACACAGCCAGAACTAAATTATAAAAAAATTAATTTTTTTAAAAAAATTAAAAAACAAAATAGCCTACATAACCGTAATTTTTTATGAGCCTATCTGAGATCTAAGGCTGCAAGACAACAGAAATAATTGAATTTTGAAGTATGACAGGTCCTGTGAGGAGAGACAAAACATATGAACAGTTTCACATTTGGTAGACCATGGAAGAAGTGGCAGTCACAATAAAAGGCAAGAAAAAAAAATACTCAAAACTGTAGGCAGGCAGGAGACCGAAGGAAGACACTCTTGGAGACGGAGATAGATGTGCAGAACCTACCACGGTCTGAGGCTGGAGCAAAGATATCAGGCAAAGCCCATTCATGCTCCAGGCCCTGAATGAGCAGAAGGTGAGATCAGGTGTCACTGTGGCAGAGGCACAAAACCTGCCTAAACCCTGGACAAAGCTCCATACCAAGCAAAAGCAGTCTGCCGCTGAGAAAGAGGCAAAGTTTACTCCTCACCCCAGTCCCCGGGAAAGGATGGCTGCTGTTGGGAGAAAAGTACAAAACCCAGCTATCTTCACATTTTACTGACACTAGGCAATGTATTCAATACTACATGCCATTAGAAGGGCAGGAAATCTGTTCATGCCCAAATCCTTCAAAGATACAAAGCAGAGATCCGCTGCTGCTGGGAAATGGTCACTCACTTGAACCTAGAACTTCCCACTGATATTAGGCAACATCTACCCACCATGATGGGAATGAGAAAGAAATTGGCCTGAGTGCTGGAACAGTGCTGTCCAGTAGGAATTTATACAATGACAGAAATATCCTATTTTGTGCTATCCAATATGCCAACCACTAGCCATATGTAGGTAATTGGCTATTGATGAGTGCAGCTCTAGACTCCACTCTGAGTAAATGGGAGAGACTGTCTGCTCATGGAGGAGACAAGGAAAGTCCCACTCTTGAGGCACAGGTGTACAGAGTCTGATTAAGACTAAAACTGGAGCAGAAGAACCAAGAAACCCACCCTGTTCACTCTAAGAACTTTGCACCAAGTAACAAGCAAGAGCAATCTATTGCTAAGGAAGGGGCAAGAGTACAGAGAGAAATATTCAACTCCTCTCACCTCTAAATGTGTCACAAACTGAAAGATGGAGTTGGAGCAGAAATGCTGAGAAACATCACCTGACATTGCAGGCCGCACACTAAGTACAAAGTATCAACAGTCCATCTCTGTAGGAATGTGAAGACTATGGTACACTGAAGGTAACTATGACAACCACAAAACCCAAACCCAGCTCAATTATTTACTAGATTGACCAATACCTGTTCATACTAACAATGTGACAGAAGTAGAGGAATATCTATTTCTGGATAGAAATATTATTTACCTCAGTCTCTACCATTCTTTAACAAGCAATGGCTGCCACTTAATCCAAAATTATGCAACACACAAAAGCAGGAGATAAAACAATCAACAAAACCAGACCCAGAGATGGACCAGATATTGAAGTTATCAGACAAACACTATAACTATGATTAATATGCTTAAAGATCTAGCGGGAAATTTAAACAAAAATATGGCAACTATTTTTTAAAAGGCAAATGAAAATACTTAAAAAATATGAAGACAACTTTATCAGGCTAATCAGCAGAATGAACACAATAGAGGAAAGAATAAAACTATAGAAAGATCGGGAGATTGGGACTGACATATATACACTAACATGTATAAAATAGATAACTAATAAGAACCTGCTGTATAAAAAATAAATAAAACAAAATTCAAATATTCAAAAAAAAAACCCCACAAACTATAGAAGGATCAATAGAAATTATCCAAACTGAAACAAAGAAAGAAAAGAGTAGGAAGAGGGACAGAGCAACCAAGAGGTGAGACAAGAGCAAATGGTCTAATATATTTTTACTTGGAGCCCAGAAGTAGATGGTGAACCACAAGAAATATCTGAAGAGATAATGAGGAAAAAAAATTCTAAGTTTAATGAATGACAACAAACCACAGATCCAAGAACCTCTGAGAAACCAATGCAGGATAAAAATAAAGAAAAATAAAATAAAATAAAGAAAAACACACCTAGGCACATCATAGTCTGCTGCTAAAAAGTAGTGATAAAGAGAAAAATCTTGAAGACAGATAGTAAGAAAAAAAAATTACAAACAGAACAACAAAGATAAGAATCGTAACAGACCTCTCTTCAGAAACTATGCAAGCCAGAAGAGAGTAATGTCTTTAAAGTACTTAAAAAAAAACCTGTCAACCTAGAATTCCATACCCATCCTCCACAAAAAGGTTAAAAAAATATTTCATTGCTAGTAGACCCAAACTATAAGAAATGTTAAATCAACTTCTTGGGAAAAAGGAATTGATCCAGATAGGGCATCAGGATTAGTCAACTTTTTCTGTAAAAGGCCAGATAATAAGTGAATTAAAATTATTTGAAGGTAGACTGTGATAAATTAAAAATATATACTGAAAACTGTATAGCAACGAGTTTAAAAAAAAAGAGTAGCTAGTAAGCCAATAGAAGAGATAAAATTGAATCATAAAAAAATACTCAATTGACAAAAAGGCAGGAAAAGTGGAGAAAAGGGAACAGATACAGCAAATAGAAAAAAAATAATGTAATGACAGATTTAAATCCAACCATATCAGTTACATTAATGTAAATGATCCACACTCCAGTTATAAGGCAGAGATGGTCACGTTGAATAAATAAGAATAATACATAAATATAGTGACAAGAACATTACAGAAACTAAGAATAGAAAGTTAGAACATTAAAAAAACTAATTATAACTGAATCACTTTGCTGTACACCTGAAACTAACACAACACTGTAAATTAACTATACTTCAATTATTAAAAATTTTTTAAAAAGAGAGAAAATAATAATAAATAAACCCTAATTTATGTACCTACAGTAGACTGAAAATAATTCTGCTAGGTTTATATCAATACTGAAGAAATTTTTAAACTTCTCAAATGAAAGCAAATGGTGAATATAATTAACCTCAAGCTGAAGTAATCTGACTATTTTTTGTCTTCCTTTGATTTCCTCATATGTTACGATCTCCATGTTAATTCTCCCCCACCTCCCTAAATATAGCAATGTTCATAAACACTGACCTTGCCATGGCTTCTTTCCACTTTCTGAAAACATTTATTCAGGGATAGATTATGTCGAACAGAATTCTTCCAGCCTGTTGGTGCGGTTGCAAAATATGGGAAGCGGTTCAGTATCCAGCTATAAATTTCTTTGACAGGCAAACATTTATTTGGAGACTGTTCAATAGCCATGTAAATGAGAAGACTAAAGGAGTATGGGGGTTTTGAAGTTGCTGATTTTTTTTCTGGGTTCTGATAGCACGACGGTCCTAAGGATGGCACATCATCTCCCTCTATGTCATACAATGGACTAACAATTGGAAGACCCTCACTTCCAAAGCTGAAGTTGGTTAGGAGATTAGTACTTTCGTGAAGCCAGTTCAAGTTTGTGAGTTCATCATCTGCTGACTCACTGTTCACTAGAGTGGCCTTTGGCCTGGCAGCATCAACAGCTTCAGGCAAGCTTCCCATTTTGTAAATCTGGCTTAATCCTGCAACCTTTTCAGCTCCTGGAGTTTCAGCTCTCTTTTCTGGAGTCATTCCAATTATTGGACCCATTTACTCTTACAGTTCTGCAACAAAAGAAACAATTATCAGTCAATGTAATACTGAAGATTCGTAAACTCATGGGAGAAGGAAATACATATTTAAATAGCCCCAAATCAGAGAAATTTTGCAATCAATATCCCACATAATATTTAAGCACAATATCTGTATAACAAAGATGCTAAAGGTTACTATACAAGGAACAGAACTTATTTCATGTTATTTGAAATGACGGCAAATAAAATGCAGCACTATAGCACAATATGTACAGGTGATATTAACAGAATTAAGTAATGTATTTTGAATACTTATTAAAGTCCCTAGGCTTTAGTAACTGCCTAATAAGTAATATTTGCTGTTATTAAAAATGAACAATTATTTCTTTGAATTATAACTCTATAATCTATTCATCTTATGGATCTATGACTTCACTGTAATTAACAGTCATACATATGGCTCAATACAAACAATAACCAAATTTAAAATAAAGCTCAAATAATAATTCCAAATAAACCCTTTCCTCAAATCTGAAATACTTACCATAAATAATTTCTAATATTTTTATAGTATATCATACTAAAAAGATAATATTCCTTAGTAACAAACTAAATTCGTTACTAGCAAAATTATATTTACTATAAATTTATTATTTATTTGTAAATTCCAGTATTTTTTTTTTTGCGGTACGTGGGCCTCTCACTGTTGTGGCCTCTCCCGTCGCGGAGCACAGACTCTGGATGCGCAGGCTCAGCGGCCATGGCTCACGGGCCCAGCCGCTCCGCGGCATGTGGGATCTTCCCGGACCGGGGCACGAACCCGTGTCCTTTGCATCGGCAGACGGACTCTCAACCACTGCGCTACCAGGGAAGCCCCAGCTTACATATTTTATTATAGAGAAATAGCTAAGTAAAAGCACATCAATTTAATATTTAGTAGTCGTTAAAAATGACTGTCTTGAAGATTGTGAAGTAAACAAAAAAGCTTATTAAAAACTGGTGAAAAAGTAGAAAATATACAGAAAGCTAACAGTGCCTTACATTAGTAACTCGGTAATTTTTTTCTCTGTTATATTTTCCGGTTTTTCTTTAAGGTGTTTATTATCTTTATAGTTTAAAGTTAAAACAATGTACTCAAGGGAGAAAAGACTGTGTTAGACTATTTTTTAGTTGTAGTATTTCCATTTCACAAGAAACAAAATCACAAAAAGGTCACAGACTGATCAAAGACCTCTAGTCAAAAATAGAAGCCACCTCTCATTCTTAGTACAGTTTATTTTGTTATTAAGCTTTTCTGTAACACAAATTAGTTCACTGGTAAGTAGGGGAAAGATTTTAGTACAATGTGAAAGTCACACTGGTTTGTACATGATTTTTCCCAGCCTATGTCTTTGCACTACTAAATAGTAAGAGCTGAACCCCAAACAAGCTAATACAGTGGAAAGCAGCAAGCTGCTGAAAGTACAGTACTGTACACAATTCTCATTCAACCCATGTTCTTCCTCTTGGCACAACCTGGTCACACGCATTGTCTTGAAAATACTTAATGAAGTCTTCTCTGCAAATCTTTATGCATTTCACTCTGGCCTCCATAACCCTGTAGCTTCAACCCTTCCTTGCACACGCTTCCACCAGGCTACCTTCATCTCTTGTTTTTTAACCTTAAGTCGATTGTAGTATTTCTTTATATGTAACAGAGTTAATATATCTTTTTAAATATTCTAGTATTCTCATTAAGACTTATTTTTATTAGTGTTCTGATTACAAAGCTTTGCATGTTTTGGGTGCGACCCATCAGCTCTGCACAATTTCAGTGTTCTCAGAAATACATATGTAACATTACAACAGAAAGGTCTGTATATTTTACACCAAAATCAAGAAAATTTTGTTTAAAATTTTTATGAAACTACTTCTTAAAATGAACTGAAAGCATTCGATAGCAGATAATTAATAATGTGCATGGAAGTTTGCTTCATAAAGCAAAATAAGTAAAGAAATAAAAGGAAATCTGGGCTGATGTATTGATAACACTTCCTTTTAGTGATCTTTTAAGAACAATACTTCAACAAACCAAATTTAACTGTTACACATAATAAATGTCACTCAAAATAGGCACTTAAGGCCTAGAAAATAAAATGTGGGATATGAAAATGTATCCTAATTTCTTAGGTGTATAAATAACATAACCCAAATAATGAATACATCCACTACAAATAGATTTCCAAAACCAAGACATTGGTACAAAAAAAAGGCATGTAAATGTACAAGACGATTTAGCAAAGTACACATCTGTGTTAAGACTCCAAATCTACATTTCAGAAAAGGACAGAATTTCCTCTCACAAGGAGAATTTTCAAAGTGGAGAGTTCAAATAAACCCAGTACAATCACTCTGGAGCCCCTGTCTAGAGCTTCACTGTATGACGGCCATGGCAGCATCTTGAGAAGACAGCTCAGGATTAAAATGCACCATTTTTTCCCACAGCTATGCAGCTCATGCATCTCCAAAGCTGTCCAACGGAGAACTGCATGTCTGCATATTATGTTCAATGCTACAATGACACTCAACTCCAGGGCAAGAAGAACATAATAAGATTCCATATTGGAATTCTCAGATCACTTCTCAAAAGGTTAGAGGAGAGCACTTTTGCTTAGGTTTGTATTAACACTGGTCTGAGAGGAAATGCTTGACAGAGAGTAAGAGAAGGGAAACTAAGGCAGAGAATTTTCAGTGTCATCTAAGGTACAAGGTGCCAAATTACAAGGTATTAGAGGTGTCACAGTGATAGCTTTTTTTAACCCGAAATAATTAAGGAACCTCCTAAACACAAAATGTTGGTTAAAACCACATAGATTTTATGACTTAATTTATCCACATTTTTAATTGATTGTATCAAAGATTAAGCAAACAAATTTTTCCTTTATAGTTAGAATCCTTAAATATTATATTATTTAGCCCTCTAAGTTTTTCACACATCATGTAAAGTTGAGTTGTACTGAAACTTGTTTTTCCCCCCACCAAATTCATTAACATTATTGCAGCAGTAATTCATTCTTTTTACAGATGACTTATATTCTACTTTATGAACATACCACAATTTATTATACTCTTAAGAACATTTATTTATGTTTATGTTTGGGGCTATTACAAGTAGTATTGTTATGGACATCCTTGTTCATATCCCTTGGAACACAACTGTAAATAAATTTTCTGAAATTCTAAAAGCAGAATATATGTGAAGGAGTGGACTTATTGGGTCACAGAGTATTCTTTTCTTCAATTTTAACTGATAATGACAAATTGCTACCAGGAATGTATGTGTATTTTGTTTGCTCCATGTACTCATCAAAAAAAATTTTTTTGCCAACCTGATGACTATGAAATTGTAACTCCTTGTGGTTTAATTTGCATCTCCCATATAAGTAATGGGGTTGAATATCTTTTCATATACAAAAGAAACATAAAAGTCAAGTGTATATATATGGCAAACATATATATATATATATTTGCCATTTAGATTCCCTCTTCTATTAAGTGTCTGTTGAAGTCATTTGTATTGTTTGGATACCAATCCTTATATGTGATGCAAATATCTTTCCCTATTTAGGTGGCTTGTCTTTTTATTAGTTGCCTATTAATGAAAAAGTTCTTAACTTTAATAGGGTGCATTAATCCTTTTCTTTATGGTTACCATAGTTTGTTTCTCATTTAAGAATTCCTTCTGAGGACTTCCCTGGTGGCGTAGTGGTTAAGAATCCGCCTGCCAGTGCAGGGGACACGGGTTCAAGCACTGGTCTGGGAAGATCCCACATGCCGCGGAACAACTAAGCCCATGCACCACAACTACTGAGCCTGAGCTCTAGAGCCCACGAGCCATAACTACTGAGCCCACGTGCCACAACTACTGAAGCCTGCATGCCTAGAGCCCATGCTCCGCAACAAGAGAAGCCACCGCAATGAGAAGCCCGCGCACTGCAACGAATAGTAGCCCCTGCTCACCGCAACTAGAGAAAGCCCACACGCAGCAACGAAGACCCAACACAGCCAAAAATAAATAAATAAAATTTATTAAAAAAAAAAAAAATTCCTTCTGTACACCAAATTCATAGAGCTTTTATCCCATACTGTCTTCTAAATGTATTATAGCTTTTACCTTTCACAGTAGGTCTTCAATTCATAAAAAAAGTTATGTACATATTTTTTACTCAATTTCATTTTTTTACATATGGATACACATCTGTTCCAGCATTATTTGTTAAAAATTTTCTCTTTCCTGCTGGAAGAACCAATTCATCATTGGCCCTTAGCATCTCTAACATTCTCATCAGGTATGCCAAGACTGAAAGGCCTTTATGTGGGCCATTTCTCAGGGTTGTGTTTGCCACAAACAAAATTGAGGGATGACCTAACATCTCCCAGACAAAGGGCAGTCCAAGCTCCATTAACATTTCTTCTTTCATACATGAGTTATTTAGAAGAATATATCTTAATTTCCATGTGATTTTTCTTCTTACTGATTTCTAACTTAAATGAATTGATCTATAGGATACGAATCCTTTGAAATCTGTTGAAACTTACTAGATGGTCCAGTATGTGGTTGATTTTCATGATGATTCAGCTGATGTTTCCACAGTGACTGGGTGCAATATATGTTCGTTGGATCATGCTTGTTAATTACATTAAGTTTTCTATATTCTTGATTTTTTTTTTTTTGGTCTGCTCTCTTTACCAATTAATGAGGAAGATATATTACAATCTCCCACTATACTGGTGAAATTTATCAATTTTTCCTGGTAGTTCTATTAATTTTTGCTTTATTTGTGGTTTTGGTTATTAGTTGCATACAATTAAAACTTCTAAACATTAGTGGCGAAATGAAACATTTACCGTTACATATCAATTCTTCCTCTCCCGTTGCGGAGCACAGGCTCCGGACGCGCAGGCTCAACGGCCATGGCTCACGGGCCCAGTCGCTCGACGGCATATGGGATCTTCCCGGACTGGGGCACGAATCCGTGTCCCCTGCATCGGCAGGCGGACTCTCAACCACTGTGCCACCAGGGAAGCCCTCAATTCTTTTTTTATCTCTAGTAATTCTACTTGTCTTAAAATCTATTTCAAATGATATCCCAGCTTTCATTCCATTAACATTTGCCTGGTATATCTTTTTCCATCATTTTACTTACAACATGTTTTCCTTTTGTTTCTTTGTAGTCTGGACTAAACCCCATATAGCTGAACATTTTAAAATATAAGGTATATATATATTTGGATTTACTTCTATCATCTTATCTGTTGTTCCACACTGTGTCTTTCTCTCTTTTCTTGCCTCCTTTGGGATTATTTTTTTCTGGTTCCATTTTTTATCATCTACTAGTTTGGAAGTTATATATTTATTTCTATTACTAAAGTGTTACCATAACATTTTTTTTTTCCTGCGGTACGCGGGGCGTCTCGCTGTTGTGGCCTCTCCCCTTGTGGAGCACAGGCTCTGGATGCGCAGGCTCAGCGGCCATGGCTCACAGGCCTAGCCACTCAGCAGCATGCAGGATCTTCCCGGACCGGGGCACGAACCCGTGTCCCCTGCATCAGCAGGCGGACTCTCAACCACTGCGCCACCAGGGAAGCCCATTACCATAACATTTTTATCACACATACTCATCAAAATCCAAAGTTACTTTTAATCTTCTCCTGAGTAACAAAAGGATCTTTTGGATACTAGTTCCAATCACCTCTCCCCAGCTTATAAAATAAACTGACAATTAGTAAATAACTAAAACAACTGCTATTTCAGTTTTTTTAATCCCATAAGACACTATTGTTTATACAGTTTTTAAAAAATTAACTTACACTTTATTAACATACACTTACCACTGCCTTTGATCATCATTCCTTTTTGAATCTCAGACTTTCAATGACCATTTTCCTTCTACTTAAAATGGTCTGCTAGGGGAATGGGGGAGCAATGGAGTGGGAGTTTGGGGTTAGCAGATGCAAAGTATTATATACAGAATGGATAAACAACAAGGTCCTACTATATAGCACAGGGAACTATATTCAATATCCTGTGATAAACCATAATGGAAAAGAATATGAAAAAGAATACATGTAACTGAATCACTTTGCTAAAAAGCAGAAATTAACACAACACTATAAATCAACTATACTTCAGTTAAAAAAAAAGAAGTGGTCTGCTAGTGAACTTTCGGATTTCTCTGAGCATGTCTTTATTTTGCCCTTGTTCTTGAAAGTTATTTTTTGCTAGCTGTAGAATTCTGGGTTGAACTAGAGTAGGTCACAGCTTCTAGATTTATTTTCACTGAGTACATCATTTCATGATCTCTATTTCCATTATTGTTATTGAAACCTGATAATCCTTTGAAAGTGTTCTGTGTTTTCTCTTAAAAATTTCCCCTTTATTAACCTCTTTTATATTTTCCACTTTATTGTCTCTCTGTACTGCATTCTGAATCTCTTCAGGTTTATCTTTTTTTTTAACTGATGTAATCGGAATGTTTATTTATTTAAATTCATTTAAATTCATTTAAATTTATTTACTTATTTATTTTATTTTTGGCTGCGCTGGGTCCTCGTTGCTGTGCAGGCTTTCTCTTGTTGTGGCGAGCAGGGGCTACTCTTAGTTGTGGTGCACAGGCTTCTCATTGCAGTGGCTTCTCTTATTGTGGAACACGGGCTCTAGGCACGCAGGCTTCAGTAGTTGTGGCTCGTGGGCTCTAGAGTGCAGGCTAAGCAGTTGTGGCGCATGAGCTTAGTTGCTCCACAGCATGTGGGATCTTCCCAAACCAGGGTTCAAACCCATGTCCCCTGCACTGGCAGGTGGATTCTTAACCACTGTGTCACCAGGGAAGTCCCACGTTTATCTTTTATTGTATCATTTTTTCTTCAATGGGGTCTATCTGCTTTTACCTATTCCTTGAATTCTAATTTCAGTTACTGTATATTTTCATTTCTAGAACTTCTGATTCTTCTACAAAATGTATGTTTGCTCTTTTCCTCATTTTTAAGCTTTCATTGAACATATTAAATATAATTATTTTATATTTTACACCTAATAATTCCAAGATGTGAACGATTTGTAGGTCTGATTCTACTGATTCTCTTACATTGTGCCCTGTTTCCTTAGATGGCTTGTAAATTTTTATTTTAAGCAACTCATTTTCATTATAACTTTACCAACAGGAATTCTTTGACAATGATGATTTGTGCTGCTTCTGTCAGGCCCCTGGGAGTAGTAACAATCCAGGATCATTTAAAATTCTAACAGAATTCAAATGCTAAGTATAGAAAGTGAGGAAGTGGAAAAAGGTAAGAAAAGCAAAGAGAGAAAAGAATAGGGCAGAGGGGACTTCCCTGGTGGTCCAGTGGTTAAGAATCCACCTTCCAATGCAGGGGATGCAGGTTCAATCCCTGGTCAGGGAACTAAGATCCCATATACCACGGGGCAAGTAAGCCTGTGTGCCACAACTGGAGAGCCTGTGTGCTGCAACTACAGAGTCCATGTGCTCTGGAACCCACGTGCCACAATTAGAGAGAAGCCTGCTCGCCGCAACGAAGGATCCCCCATGCTGCAACGAAGACCCAAAGTAGCCAAAAATAAATAAATATTAAAACAAAACAAAACAAACAAAAAATAAAATAAAATAAAATTCTTAGCTTGAGGTCTAGTGTGAATTCAGGCTGCAAACCAGTGTGAGGGCTGGTTTGTGGTAACAAATTTTCAGTAGAGATTTTTTATTTTTCCTGTTAGCAGCAATATTATAGAAAGATAATTTTCTTTGTTGGGAAAGAATTTCTAGATCACTCTTACACCTAGAAGGTATATACCCCTATGGAAAAAGGGCTATTACTGGAGAAGACTGCTAAATGTTTTACTCTGGTGGCTCTGGGCTTTGCTTCCTGATCCTTGAGCCCCCAAAAGGCCAGGAAAACAGAAGCTCACTTGATTTGGTAAATACCCTCAAGGCAATAGCCAGCTTCAGTACTCAGCTTACCTCACTGGGTTTCCAATTAGTGTTCAGTCTAAATATTCTTTACTTTTGTGCCAGAGCACTGATGCATTTTGTCCAGCATTTTAGGTTGTTTTCAGCAGAAAGACTAGTCCAGGTACTTAGTTCCCCATGCCGCTGGAAACGGATGTTTACATTAGTTTCTGATGGCAATATCTCTAAAGAACATTATCCCATATTTTAGAGCACTGGTTCTTCTCTAACTTACATTATCCCGTATTTTAGAGCACTGGTTCTTAAGTTTCTTCTGCCTCCACACACTTGAGGAATTTCACTTACTCCTATCACTAAGAGTTGCTTGTTATGACAGTGATTCCCAACTGGCAGTAGGTAGAAGACATTTCCTTGGAGGTGAAAGGTGGTAATCAAAAATTGTGTGTACATGTTTTTTTCCAAGAGGTTACTTCCTCTCATCCCTTTAAAAAATCATACTTTAAATATAGGAAAGGTATTTTAACCCCTTAACTATGATTCAGGCTATTATAAACAAAGATTTGGTAAAGAATAATACTTAGAGGGATTACTCAAGTATATAGGACTATTTGCCACTTTCTCAGTGTTTCTCAATAAGTGTATGCCATGGATAAACTCTGGGGGCCACAAGTTTTGCAAATTTTCATTTTGTGTTTTCATTTCAATAACAATATAAAGAAAAAAACGAAAGACTTAAAAATAAACTTACTTCAGAAACTAAAGTCAGTGATTCTAAAAATGGGATATATAATTATTTTCTTTAAAAGGGATCCATATATTATTCCAGTTACAAATACTGCTTCACACTCAAAGGTCTCACATTTGTTATGCTTGAGTTACTGGATTAATCTTCCTAGTTCTATATCCTAGTCCTCAGTTGTACTGTAGTCACTGTACCTGATTATACAGGTATATGATCCCTTACTTAAAATCCTTGAGGGCAGATATATTTCAGAATTCAGAATATTCTGGATGTTAGAAAGGGACTACAATGCACATGTGATATGTTATACAGTGTGTCAGTGAGGTCTGAGGCAGGACCCCATAATGAAAATGTTAATGTTTCTGCAGAAAAATGTATATTCACAGTAAGAAGGGAGTAAATAAAGACCATCAATAGTCTTATATCAGTTCAGATCATGTTTTAACACTACATGGGTTAAGAGAAAACTTTTGGCTTTCGGAGCACTTTGGATTTCTAAAACATGGAAATACAATTATAGAAGCATTATCTGCTATAGACTGGAAATCCAGATAAATTTCATTAGAATTTCATATAAGATATGATAATGCACCTTAAGGTGCATGAATTTAATGCATCAACTTTGTAATTTTTTTCCCCAAATACTTAGGAACCCCTTTTTGTCTACTTGTAGTTTAATAGTTGAGGATACAGAATAAGCAATTTCCTGACAACCAGGAAATGTATTATATTATAAATTCTAAAATGTCAGAAATATCTAAATGTATATAGGAATTTAAAATATATTCCAAAGCTAACATATAAGCTATATTGGATTATGATTATAATATCTCTACATCTGGTAATGTGGATAAAAGATAGAGAAAGCGAAGTATAAGAGATACACTATTCAGAATAATCTCTCCTTGTCCTTTTCTAAGATGCTTCAAGAAGAAACCTTTTACTCCTACTACACTCATGGCTCCGTTGTCATAGGTGTTAGATTCTATGGTAAAACAGTGTACAACTATAAAATGAAAGGCTTCTTCCTTGAGAAAGGAATATATATATGTAATACTAGAAGGTACTAAACAGAAAGTTGGGGAGGCAGTACATTTGAAGTTAAAATTGTGAAAGATAAGGCAATTTCATATTATAAAGTCATAAAAGTGAAATCTAAATCATTATTATTAACATTAGAATCACATCTGGTGGCAGTGAAGCAGAGGGTTAAAGAGCTTGAGCTGTGAAGAGATATTGCCTGGGTTCAAATTCCAGGTCTGCCATTCAACAGGCTATAAGACCTATCAACGAAGAATTCTAACAGTACCTACTTTCATAAGATTGTTAGTACAAATTAAATGAGAATAAATATAAAGGACTTAGAACAAAGGTAGAGAGTAAGTACACAATAAATACTAGCTATAGAGATGGTAATTATTATTACTGTTATTAATTTTTAATTATTAGCTTTCTTCCTAAAGTAGTAGATTTATATATATCTCTCGAATACAAAAAAATTAGGTATAAAATCAGTAACTATACTTTGTGTTTTGAAGAAATTAAAAAAAAATTCTAGTATTAAGGATGGGCCTCCTTTATGACCAGTGACACCCTCCGGTGAGGCAGAAATTAGGACTTCTCAGAAGAGTGCTGCAATAACAGTTTCATCATTTTCTTTATGATACGACTTTCACTTCCTTATTCTGTTTCCATGAGCTTTATGTATGTCAGTCTTTTACCAATCATACCACATGACAGAACCTTTCTTCAAATCTTTCTAGTTTAATAATCTAAAAGCATTTAAACCATATAAACTTTCAGAACTTTTTTTAGTTTTTTGTTATTAATGGCCCCAAAAGATTTTAAGTTCCTTTATTAATAGCTGCCTAATGCTAACATTCTAACAAAAGAATTTATATAAAAAAAAACTACATTACCTCTGAAATAAAATATGTTGAGTTTTCACTAGTAATGACATTCTCAATAACAAAAAGATACAGTGGCAAATATAATGCTATAATCAAAACAGGACAGGAATATAAATATCTACATATATAGTTATATTTATTTGTATCTGACTAGTTCAGAATCTATCATGAATCTACCGAATTCTTACCAAGTTAAAATATTCAAAATAATTTCTTTAAGATATTACTTATACTGTAAATTTCAGGATAACATCTATAGTACCTTAAAAATAGACTCATGTATATAAAATTTAACAACCCAAAAAAATCAGGCTCTCAGTCCAGCAATTCTCATGAACATAAAAGTTTTTTAATGTATACCTTAGTAATATAAATCCACAGCAAATAAGAAATAATTGCAATTAATTCAGTTCTACTGTGTTTAATACTTTTAAAAAGTGCTTTTCAAATTATATTATTGAATTTCATGTTACACTTTTCAACTTTAATTTTTTATCTTACCTATATCATAGTTCTTAAGAACCCTAAATCCGTAAGTTATTGTTTGCAAGATACTTTTTTAATTGTTACAAATTTAGATTTAATCCATAATATTATTTAAGAATTCATTTTAGGAAATGAAAAATAGCACTGAAAAAAGACATCAAAATAAAATAATAGTTAATTTTTGATATCCCAAAGGAAATTTATTCCAATTTATTTCTTCCCTGCACCCTTGAGCCAATCATTGAATATTTCCGTCCTCATTACACAGAAAGGATAAATGAGGAAAATCAATTTTGCTGTTTCTAAAAAAATTTTACTACACTGGACTAAAAAGGAAGCATGCCATCTGTTATGTTCTACTAGAACTGGAAAGAAGTTGAAACCAGCTCTTGAGCAATCGTACTGAGAAGCCCCGAAGAAGACTTAAAGCACGGGATGATTAATCTGGAACTATGTGGCAGCATCTGACCTACAGATACAGTTGTTTCTCACCGTCTTCACCCTACTAGTCTAGCTTCCTATTTAAAATCAGTCTCATTATAAATACTTTAAACATCTAAATTCCTGAAGCATGTGACAAATGAGTATGATATTTGGTTGTATTTAATTATACATATTTACAATTTCTAATTATGCTTTTTTACATGGTCTTAAGACATCTGGAAACTTTATTTCTATTGACTTGCTATTTTACCTCTCACCAAGAACTTAATGTCATCAGTAAATTAAACAATCTTAGAAGTGTGAAAAGAGTAACCAGAGAGTAGGCCCCTTCTCAGATTTGTGGCTTTCCCATCCAATCACTTTAAAGTAACCAACATAAAAAACCATTTGACAGGCTAAGACAACCCTAGCAAGGGGAAATAGGCTGTCATTCACTTAGCTCACATGACTAAACAATGTTTCCATAGGAAAAAAAAATCTACTACAGAGTTAAGGCATACACAGAAATCGCAAATGTTTGTGAATTTTATCAGAACTGCCTGGCAATTACTTCAATTCTTTACTGTAATTTAAGCTTTGTCTCTGATTAAGATTTATGATATAATAAAAGGAATTTCCGTTCAATTTCCCGCTCCTTTCCTCACCTTCACCTCCTTAGGAATAAACCATTTTTATTAATTAATTATAAAACATACCATAACTCAAGACTGGAAGCCACAGTACTATATTTCCTAGATTTATTCAGCAGTATAATAAGCTTATAATAAGCTCAACATAAAATATTTTAGCAGTTTACAGATACTAATTATTTTCAAAATCTTAAGAGTTCCTCATTTTTAAATAAGGAAAACAATTTTCTTGTTAATTTATCACATTGGTAGTGATAATAGTGTAACACTTATTGAGCACATACTATTTGCAAGGCTTTGTGTAACAAATTTAATGCTAGAACTTTATAAAGATATTCTATTAACTCAAATTATCTGATAACTTTGGTAACCCTGAGGTAAGAAAATTAAGCCATATAAAAGGAACTCACAACCTTTCCTACAATACATTCTTTGTTTTAAGGTTCTCTATTATAAATACTGTCCATCGCATAAAATCCAATATTGAGATTAGAGGGTAGATTCAAATCCCAAAAGTACTACTGCAAAAAGACGTATGTTTGATTATAATGCTACATGATGTCATGTATCCAGGACAACTGAAGCATTATGATCTCTTAGGGATAAAACTGCCTCTTGGTCATAGATTTAGGTGACACAGCATGTGATCCATTGTCTCTAAACAAAAAATGTGTGCAGCTGCATTTTCCTGTCAAGAAAGGGAAAGGGCGGGAAGGATGCAGAATACAAAAGGGTCAAAGATTTGTCTCATAGAGAAACAGTTTTTCAAATAGGGGTAAAAAAAGAAATAAAATTGAGGGGGGGGTGCTTCCCTGGTGGCGCAGTGGTTGAGAGTCCGCCTGCCGATGCAGGGGACACGGGTTCGTGCCCCGGTCCGGGAAGATCCCGCGGAGCGGCTAGGCCCATGAGCCACGGCCGCTGAGCCTGTGCGTCCGGAGCCTGTGCTCCGCAATGGGAGAGGCCACAACAGTGAGAGGCCCGCGTACTGCAAAAAAAAAAAAAAAAAAAATTGAGTGGGGGAAAAAACCTTTCCCCAACTCGTGCTAAAAGCAGAGAACACTAAAATTGGGGAGGGGAGTGGGATCTGTTGTGGTAATCTTCCACTGAATCCACTTTTCTCCTAAGTTAACTTGCCCAAATGCATCGTGTAACCATGGTTCAAATGCCATGTCTACCTAAACAATTTTGTGCTACTTCTATACAGTATATAGAGGTTCCCTACACATTGTCACAGCACTTGTCTCCCCCCACCCGCCAAAAAAGTCTCAGTTGTTCATTTGTTTCTTGGAGAAGTTAATATGAAGTAATAGCTTTATAAGTTAAAAAAAAAAACTGCTTCTAACCAGTAAACAAACATGATATTTTCCATATAAAGACCAAATATATATATATATTTTTAACAATGAATCCCTAGCGCATAACCCTGCCTTTCACACAGAGAAATACTGGTTTCAAAAAATAGTACCATAAGAGATCTAAATTGAGTGAAAATTGTTTTCTCTGTCGAGAAAAATAGCTATTTCTAATAAATGTTTTTAAAAAGTTCATGACAAAATAATTTGTAAACTTCTATTAGTATCTAAAACATCGCACTAGTTTACCTTACATGTTACTAAACATAGTGATAGAAAAAAAGCGCTTACTAGCTTTCAGAGTAAATCTAGCTGAGAAAACCCATCTTCTCAATCTTTGGGACTACAATCAATACCATATCTGAACCAAAATGCGTTAAAGGCTGAAAAAAACGGACAGTACAGAAAAACAAACAAACAAACCACAAATGGAGAGAAATATCCTTACCATCTAGAATTAGAAGTAATGTCACCTGTGCTACAAACCATATAGCGACCAGTTAGCCAACAAGCACTTTGGGTTTTTTTTTAGATGTTGGGGGGGGGTGTAGAAGTTTATTTATTTATTTATTTATTTATTTATTTGCTGTGTTGGGTCTTCATTTCTGTGCGAGGGCTTTCTCTAGTTGTGGCAAGCAGGGGCCACTCTTCATCGTGGTGCGTGGGCCTCTCACTATCTCGGCCTCTCTTGTTGCCGAGCACAGGCTCCAGACACGCAGGCTCAATAGTTGTGGCTCACGGGCCTAGTTGCTCCGCAGCATGTGGGATCCTCCCAGACCAGGGCTCGAACCCGCGTCCCCTGCATTAGCAAGCAGATTCTCAACCACTGCGCCACCAGGGAAGCCCAGCACTTTGGTTTTTTGATAGCCTTGTAACTGTACTTGAAAAGTTATTTTGAAAGGAACAAAGTTACAGAAACCTGAAAATCAACAGATCTAATGTCCTAAAGTACAAAGATAAATTTGGTTGGCATGTGAATACAAACAGGTGGTATTCTTTATCACCAAAATTTATTTATGTGTAATATGGTTTTCAGTGCCTTGAATATAAGCTATAATTAGTCAGCCATGCAGTAAAACTACAGTGAATTGTTCCACTGAAAATAAGCATCTTTTAAAAGCACACTCATGATCAAAATAAATTTAATAAAGGCAGACAATGATATCTTACCTTACTAATAACCCCCATATCAAATTTGGAAACCAAGATTAAAACTTAAGACTGTATACTGGTTGACTTAATATACTGATTTTATATGTAATTCTAAAAACAACACAAAAGCATGATTAACTTAACACAGAATTAAGTCCTCTTTAAAATAGGACTAAACTAACCCTATATGAACCTTACTTAAGTAAAATATATTTATGCTAAAAATTATTAAAGGTAACGTGTGCCACAACTACTGAGCCTGCGCTCTACAGCCTGCAAGCCACAACTACTGAGCCCGCGTGCCACAACTACTGAAGCCCGTGCGCCTAAAACCCGTGCTCTGCAACAAGAAGCCACCACAACAAGAGAAGTCCCCGCTCACTGTAACTAGAGAAAGCCCACCCGCAGCAAAGAAGACCCAACGCAGCCAAAAATAAATAAATAAATAAATTTACTTTTTAGAAAGTATATGTTACTAAATAGACTAACTCCAGAGCATTTTAGAAAGTAGTAACACTTAACTGTAATAATCATTCAAGTTTCTAAATAAACTTATATGGAATATAAAACCCGAATTCTAAGTAGCCATATCAACTGCAGCTATTTACAGCTAGCTGTCACTACTAGTAGATAGAATCAGCAACTGAGTGGATGTTAGTTCCATTTGATAATACTATATAGAGAATACTGAAAGAGAATATGACTTTTTCTTCTTGGAGGTAGATCAATGTTTGTGGTGATGTGTGTATGTGTATGTGTGTGTGTGTGTGTATTTTTTGTTTTGACCTGTTGAGCTTGAGATACTTGTGAGATACTTAAGTAGAGTGGGCATTTGGGATATATGTGATCTAAAGTTCAGGAGAGAGGTTTGGTCTGGAGATAGATTTTGGAGTCGTTAAACCTGAAATCTGCCCATCTTTCTCCACTTTCACAGTCACAACTATAGTCCAGGTCAACATCATCTCTCATCTAGACCACTACAATGGTAGTCTACATGAATGGTACCCCCTACGGTTTGTGTTCTGCACAAACATACACAGTGGCTCTGATAATATCTTCCTAAATTAGTCCCCCTGCATCTATGCCTGATGCTCCTAATTTGTTTTCTATAATATAGCATAATCTTATAAAATGCAAAACTGAAAATATCCCTTTCT